GGTCCCCACTGCACCCCCCTATGGGGCCCCCAATGGGGCCCCCTGTGGTTCCCCCCGGGGGGCCCCCTGGGGGCCCCCCCCTCGAACGCCCCGAGGGGCCCCCCTGCGGGGCCCCCGGGGGGGCCCCCGGGGGGGCCCCCCGGGGCAGTGAGGGCCCCCGGGGTGGGGGGTTTGCGTTGGGAGTGCAACAAAGTGCGGAGCGACAAGAAGGCCCGGAAAAGGGCTTTTGCCCACCGGGGGTTTTATGGGCGGCAGCGGCTGCTGCAGCTGCAGCAGCAGCAGCTGCGGCTGGCCTTTGCCTACCAGGGCGTGGACTACTTGAAACTCAAAACCCTCCAGTGGGGAGAAGTCCGCAAGGGGGGCCCCGGGGGCCCCTAGGGGGGCCCCAGGCCACTCAGGGGGCCCCGCCGGACCCAGCGGCCCCTCGGGGGCCCCAGGGGGCCCCAGGGGCCCCTCGGGGGGCCCCGGGGGGACTCAGGGGGCCCCAGGGGGCCCCAGGGGCCCCTCGGGGGGGCCCGGGGGGACTCAGGGGGCCCCAGGGGCCCCCTGGCTTCCCTAGAGCCCCGGGGGCACGGGGCTTTTGGGGGGCCCCTTGCTTTCGACGCAGCTGCAGCAGGTGGGGGGTCCCGAGGTGCTGTTCATTTTTGCTGCTGAGTGGAAGTTTACCAAGTTAGAAGGTACCCTTTGCTTCTGGGGCCCCCATGAGACACACGGGGGCCCCCCAGGGGCCCCTACTAATAGAAAACTGTACCCAGGGCCTTCCCCGGGGGCCCCCGGGGGCCCCTTGGGGCCCCCCAGATGGCTGGGGGGGCCCCGGGGGGCCCCGGGGGGCCCCCAGTGCCTCTGTTGCTGCTGTGCTGCGGTCTAGTGGGGCCCCCAGCTGCATGCATGCAGGGGGGGCCCCATTTCCTTTTTGCTGCACAAGTTCACTTTGGGGGCCCCCCAGCAGCTGCGGGGGGCCCCCCTTATTGGGGGGCCCCCCGGCCCACAATTGGGGGCCCCCTTATTGGGGGCCCCCAATTGTGGGCCCAACTGTCTCAGCTATTTGTTAGTGTGCAGTCGCAAAGTCCTTCTCTAGTTCAAATATAAAACAGCAACCCAACGCTGCGCTGCTGCTGCTGCTGCTGCTGCTGCTGCTGCTGCTGCTGCTGCTGCTGCTGCTGCTGTCGTATTTGCAGCCATTCAAGCGGTTGTGTCTGCTGCCGAGCAGGTTAGGAGGTGGCAGCTGCTTTGCTGCAGTCGAAATGCCGCACTAGCAGCAGCAGCAGCAGCAGCAGCAGCAGCAGCTGCTGCTGCTGCTGCTGCTGCTGCGAGTGTCTGTGTTGGAGTTGCATGCATGCATTTCGGGAGTTATTTATGCATTTATTTCGCTTAAAAGGCCCATTTATTTCTAAAAGTGAATTATTTGTTTTAATTAATTAAATTTGCTGCTGCAGATCAGATCTTGACTGCGCTGCTGCGAAAGCTGCACAAAGAGCGCCAGGGTCACTTGGCGGCTGCGGCGGTGAGCAGGCGGGCGGGGCCGGGAGGGCTGATGCACTTCTTATTCAAAAAGAAATCATTTTTGAAAACAAAAAGGTAAAAATTTGAAACAAAAAACTAAAAATATTCAAATTGAACAATTAGGAAAGCCTGGCAGCGGAAGATCCTTTGCTTTCTGCCGCCGCGGCTGCCCGCCGCCGCCTGTGGCTCGAGTTCAAATGGAAATCCCGGCCTTAGCTGCAGGCTCCCGCGGCCTTTGTGTCGCTGCAAATATATTTAATTATTATTAACTTCAATTGGTTTTCTTTTTCCCGCAAAAAGCCAAAAATTCCGAAAGTTTCGCCGCCGGATTTCGGATTTTTGCGGGTCGGCTGCGCGGCGGTTTCAGGTGTATGGACAGCCCAGCGCGCGGCTCCACTCCGATCTTCCGCGCTCGACCGCAAAAACGAATTTACTTTTAATTATTTATTATTATTTTCTTCCGTTTTGACTTTTGAACAGTTTCACTTCGAGTTTATTTCCTTGGAGTCCAAAAAGATGGCGCTGACCTTCCACACTGCCTGCGATCTGGCGCGCTTTCTCAGAAGCGTCGCCGAGAACGAACTCGCGGTGAGATGAACTCCGACTTGAAAACGAGAAATGCAAAAATAATTGAAAGTCTTTTTGCTTTTTGTTTCTTTTTTGTTTCTTTTTTGTTTCTTTTTGTTTCTTTTCCGCATTTTTTGAATTATATTTGGCTGCAGCTTCCAGGCGGGTGTTGAATAATGCAAGTAATGCAGAAGAGCAGCGGGCGGGAGGCGAGCGCCCGCAGCACTTCGTCTCAGAGTGGAAATGGAGTGAAATAAATCCATTTAAATCTTTTTAATTCTTTTTTTTGTTTTATTCTTCTTTTCTTGTCCGCAGCAAGAAAAAAGAAGAAGAGTTGCTGCTGCTTGCCCCGCGCTGCACCCCGTCGATGCTTTTCAACATTTGAACAAGTCCGGCTCCGGGCTCCTCACTTGTGCGTCCTTCGAGTTGCTGAGGTGTACATACACCTCAGAAGTGCACATACACCTCAGAAGTGTGCATACACCTCAGAAGTGTACATACACCTCAGAAGTGTGCATACACCTCAGAAGTGTACATACACCTCAGAAGTGTACATACACCTCAGAAGTGTGCATACACCTCAGAAGTGTACATACACTTCAGAAGTGTACATACACCGCAAAGCGCAGAAAACAGCAGCAGCAGCAGCAGCAGCAGCAGCAGCAGCAGTCCGCAGAGGCAGCCAGTGAGAAGCGTGAGTGGAAGCGCTGCTGCTGCTGCTGCAGCAGCAAGCTTGCTGCAGCCCCGCGAGGTGTACGTACACCTGAATGCTGTCTGCTGCAGCTGAAGAACTTCGGCAGTTTCTCCGCAGACACAACTGCGGTGTATCGACAGCTGATGGCGCCCAGCTGCTGCGCCGCCTCGACTTCGACGGAGACGGCGCAGTCACTCCTGCAGAGTAAACCCTAAACCCTAAACCCTAAACCCTAAACCCTAAACCCTAAACTCTAAACCCTAAACTCTCAGGCGAATCCCAAACACGGGGCTGGCTTGCGACGCTTTGAACAGGGCAGCAGCAGCAGCAGCAGCACCCGCACCAACAGCAGCAGCACCTGCTGCTGCTGCTGCTGCAGCTGCTGCTGCTGCAGCAGCTGCTGCTGCTGCTGCAGCAGCTGCTGCTGCTGCAGCGGCGTGTGTGCAGCTTTAACAAGGCACTGGCCCCCCGCCACCGCGTAGGCCGTTTGCTGCTGCTGACTCGCGAGCAGCCCGAGGGGCCCCCCTGTGGGGCCCCAGAAGAGCAGCAGGGGCCCCTCAGCAGCGAAGCAGCAGCAGCAGTGGCTTTTGTCTTGGAGGGAGAACTGGAAGCAGCATGGGGCCTCCAGAAGCGGCAGCAGCTGCTGCTGCAGCACAAAGACATAAACCCTGCAGCAGCTTTTAGATATTTGGACAAAGACGGAATCGGCGCAGTTTCCAAAGGTCCTGCTGCTGCTGCTGCTGCTGCTGCTGCTGGAACTGCTGCTGCTGTTGCCGTTCGTGCTGCTGCTGCTGCTGCTGCGGTTACTGCTCGAGCTTTGAGGCTGTCGTACCTGCCACTGTAATGTCTGCACGTTCCGATAAAGCTGCTGCTGCTGCTGCTGCCGATGCAGTTAGGTTTGCTGCTGCTGCTGCTGCTGCTGCTGCTGCTGCTGCTGCTGCTGTTTCCCTCTTGTCGACGTCTTCTGCACGGTGGCCATTAGAGGCTATCTGCATTTTCTGCTGCTGCTGTTGGCTGTGCATTCGCTGCTGCTGCCGGTGGCTGCACATCTGCTGTTGCTGCTGCTGCTGCTGCTGCTGCTGCTGCTGCTGCTGCTGCAGGGCGCATGCTTGAGCTGCTGCGCTGCCACCGGCAGCCCTGCAGCATGCAGTCAGTTGAGGCTTTCTTTTGGCGACACGACAGGTAGAAAAAAGAAAAGTCCATTTCCCTTTTTTTTAAAAATAAAAGTATTTTAAAGTTCCAAAAAAGATATTTAAATGTTCCGGGGGGCCCCCAAATTAATAATAAATAGTGATACAGAAGGGCCCCCAGAGGGGCCCCAGCAGCAGCTTTCGGGGGGCCCCCAGGGGCCCCCAGAGGGGCCCCAACAGCAGCTTTCGGGGGGCCCCCAGGGGCCCCCACAGGCTCCACAGGGTACAGCTTTCAGCAGGGCCTTTTGTGGGGCCCCAGAGGCCCTATGGGGCCCCCATGGGGCCCCTGTGGGGCCCCCATGGGGCCCCCAAGGGACCTCTGTGTGGTCTGTGTGGAGTTTTACTGAGTCTTAAAGAGGCTGGCTGAGTGCATGCATGCATTTGCATGCATTTGCATGCATTTGTGTTGGATGCATTTGCATGCATTTGCATGCATTTGCATGCATTTGTGTTGCATGCATTTGCATGCATTTGCATGCATTTGCATGCATTTGCATGCATTTGCATGCATTTGTGTTGCATGCATTTGCATGCATTTGCATGCATTTGCATGCATTTGCATGCATTTGCATGCATTTGCATGCATTTGCGTTGCATGCGTTTTGGGGCTTTTGCAGAGACCGGGACGGCTATTTGTCTTTCTCAGATCTTCTTTGTCTCCTTTACCCCCGGCGGCAGGCCAATAAGATCTGGTCCAGCTACGTTGGCCTGCAGCAGCAGCAGCAGCAGCAGCAGCAGCAGCAGCAGCAGCAGCAGCAGCAGCAGCAATACGAGCAGCAGCAGCAGCAGCAGCAGCAGCAGCAGCAGCAGGGGTCTGAGTCTGCTGCAGGCCTTTTGGGGGCCCCCGGCGGGGGGCCCCCCGGGAGGGTGGCTAGCCAGCTAGCCAAGCAGCTAGCTGTGAACTTGGCGGGGACAGCAGCGCTGCTGGGGGGCCCCCCGCGGCGGCTGCCTGCTGCAGCAGAAGTGCTTTTGCTGCTGCAGCAGCAGCGGGAAAAAAAGAGACAAATAAATGCGCAGCAGCAGCTCGCGGGAGACAGGTGCTGCTGCGTGAGCTGTACATACACCCCGCGGCCCTGCTGCTGTCTCCTTTTGTCTTTCCTCCATTTTACTTTTTGCCATTTGCTGCAGCGCCCCTAAACCCTAAACCCTAAACCCTAAACCCTAAACCCTAAACCCTAAACCCTAGCCAGACCCTCAGCAGCCTAAACTCTGCCCCAAACCCTTTCTGCGCTGCAGGCAGAGGAGACTGTGGGCTCGCTGCTGACGGGGGGCCCCCTGGGGGGGCCCCCTGGGGGGCCCCTCGGGGGGCCCCTTGGGGGCCCCCTTGGGGGGCCCCCCGGGGGCCCCCTTTTTTCTAATGTTCGCAGAAGACCCTCTCCCCAAACCCTTGCTGCTGCTTTCGAGCTGCTGCTGGCGGTTTTGAGAGAAATAGAGGCGGCGCAGAGAGATTTGGCCTACACGTTCGCAAACCCTAAACCCTAAACCCTAAACCCTAAACCCTAAACCCTAAACCCTAAACCCTAAACCACGCAGGCCAAACCCTCACTCGCCAGTGGAAAGCGCGTTTTAATGCGCTTTCCGCGCACGGGCCCCTCAAACCCTAGCCCGAAACACTAACCCCCAAACCCTAAACCCTAAATCCCAAACCCTAAACCCTAAACCCTCGAGGGTTTGGCCGCAGGAAAGGCTTGGACTTGGAAGCTGCTTGGAGGCTGCTGGACGCCAAGGGTTTAGGGTTTGCGTCAGCAGCAGATGTGAAGAGGTTTTTGGAAAGCAGCGGCACAAAAGCAGCAGCAAAACTCATTTCCAAAACCCTCAACAGATACAGCAGGGGGGGCCGGTAAACCCTAAACCCTAAACCCTAAACCCTAAACCCTAAACCCTAAACCCTAAACACTAGACACTGAACCCTAGGAGCAGCAGCAAAACTCATTTCCAAAACCCTCAACAGATACAGCAGGGGGGGGCGGTAAACCCTAAACCCTAAACCCTAAACCCTAAACCCTAAACCCTAAACCCTAAACCCTATACGCTAAACCCTGAACCCTAGGAGCAGCAGCAAAATTCATTGCCAAAGCTCTCAACGGATACAGCAGGGGAGGCTGGTAAAACCCTAAACCCTAAACCCTAAACGCTGAACCCTAAACGGTAAACCCTAAACCCTAAACCCTAAACTCTAAACCCTAGGAGCAGCCACAAAATTCATCAACAAGCCCTCAAGAGATACACACTGGCGGGCTTTTGTATTTATTTATTTTTATTTATTTTTATTTATTTTTATTTACTTTTTTTAAATTCACTTTTGTTTATTTTCAATCTCTTTTAATACTTTTTCTTTTTTAACTTTTGAAAATATTTTCATTTTTTAAAATGCCTTTTTGCCGATTTTTAAGCTTCTCTGAATATCTTTTTTTCTATTTTTCTTTTTTTGTGTTTTTATTTTATTTTTTTCTTTTTCCATATTTGCATTTTATTTTTATTTTTTAATGCTTTTATTTTGTGTTATTTTATTTTATTTTATTTTATTTTATTTTATTTTATTTTATTTTATTTTATTTTATTTTATTTTATTTGCAGATTTGTCTTTGCCTCTTTTTGCGAGCTGCTGCTGCCGCCCTCCGCGCCCATCTCTCGCCACCTGCTGCTGCAGCAGCAGCAGCAGCAGCAAGTGCTGCAGCAGCAGCAGCAGCAGCAAATGGCGCTGCAGCAGCACTTCCAGCCATTTAAACAATTCCAAGAAATTAAAAAACAAAGTTGCTGCAGCATCAGAGTTATTCGCCTCGTTGCCGAGATATTCGAACTCGTCATAGATGTAAACCCTAAACCCTAAACCCTAAACCCTAAACCCTAAACCCTAAACCCTAAACCCTAAACCCTAAACCTATGAAATCCGAAATCCTAGAGGAGCTACAAACTTTCAACCCTGGGATGCTGCAGACCCTAAACCCTAAACCCTAAACCCTAAACCCTTCCCGGCTAAAGCCAAGACACAAAGAAGGCGCGCCAAGGAACTCAAAACTAGGCCAAAAGCAGCAGCAGCAGCAGCGGCACCAGCAGCAGCAGCAGCAGCAGCAGCAGCAGCACTAGCAGCAGCAGCAGTTAGTGCATGCGTTTGCTGCTGCAGGCAGAGCAAAAGCTCGAAGGCCTTCGGGAAATCTTCAGCGAGATGGACATCTTTGGGGCGCTGCAGCAACTAGGACTGTAAGCTGCTGCTGCTGCTGCTGCCGCTGCTGCTGCTGCTGCTGCTGCTGCTGCCACTGCTGTTGCTGCTGCTGCTTCTGCTGGTGCTGCTGCAGCTGCTGCTTTGGCAACTCTTGCTGCTGCAACTGCTGCTGCTACAACTCTTGCTGCTGCTGCTGCCGCTGCTACCTTGCTGCTGCTGCTGCTGCAACTCTTGCTGCTGCTGCTGCTGCTGCTGCTGCAGGGAGAGCGAGGGTTGTTTGTCTCTGTCTTCTTTGAGGTCTCTTTTGTCTCTTTTTGGATTTTTTGCTGCTGAAGAAAATCTCCAAAAGTTTCTTTTCTTTTGCACCGGCAGCAAAAGCCAAAGAGTTCCCATCAACGAACTCATCTACGCCATCGCCAACAGGCCCACCAGCTAGCTAGCTAGCTAGCTAGCTAGCTGGCACGTTAGCTAGCCAGCTAGCTAGCTAGCTAGCTGGCATGTTAGCTAGCCAGCTAGTTAGCGAACCAGCTAGCTTGAGGGCAAGCTAGCTAGCTAGCTGGCTAGCTAGCGAATTCGCTAGCTGGAGAACTAACCGGCTAGCTAGCTAGCTAGCTAGCTGGCTGGTTGGTGGATTGGCTAGCTGGAGGACTAGCTAGCTAGCTGGATAGCTAGCGGATTAGCTAGCTGGAGTACTAGCTAGATAGCTAGTTGGGCAGCTAGCTGGCTAAATACCCTACTAGAATTGTAGCTAGCTAGCTTGATAAATATCTAGCAAGCCAGCTAGCTATTTATCCACTGACGGCAGAGCTAGCCAGGCAACCACGCAGGCACCCGCAAACCCTAAACCCTAAACCCTAAACCCTAAACTCTGGCTAGCTAGCTAGCTAGCCAAGCAACTGGCTAGCCATCCAAAGAAAAAGAGTAGCTAGCTAGCCAACCTAGGCGAGCCGCCCAGCTAGCCAGTTCTCTGCCCAACTGGTTGGCTAGCCAGCTAGCCAGTTGAACCTCCCCAACTCACGCAGCTAGCCAGCTAGCCAGCCAGCTAGCCACATAGGTAGCTAGCTAGCTGGCTAGCTAGCTAACCAGCTAGCTGGCCAGCTAGCTTGTCAACTGTGCAGTGGAAACGAAACTTTAATTTGTTTTTTTCTTTTGTCAAATGCGCCAGTTCATTATTATCATTTTGTATTGATTCAATTGAACCCCAAAAAAGTTCAATTTGGAGTCCTTTGGGGGCCCCTAGAAGTGGCTGGAGGCCCCTAAGGGTTAAAAGAGCTGCTGGGGGGCCCCCAGAGGCCCCAAAGGGTCTTAAAAGCTGCTGAAGGGCCCCCAGGGGCCCCGGAGGGGAACCCCTAGGGGCCTCATGGGGGGCCCCCCAGGGGCCCCCCGAGGTATTAGGGGCCCCCGGGGTCTCGGGGGGCCCCCAGGGTACTTTGGGGGCCCCTGGGGGCCTCCAAAAGTACTTGGGCGCAGCCGTGGAGTGCGGAGCAGTTTATTGCAGCTAGCTGCAGCAGCTAGCAGCAGCTAGCTGCAGCTAGCTGCTAGCTAGCTCGTAGCTAGCTGGGTAGCTAGCTAGGCAGCTAGCTAGGGGCTAGCCACTGGAATGGGGGCCCCCAAAGGGCCCCCAAAGGCTCCATGGGGGCCCCTTTGGGGCCTCTAAAGGGCCTCCAAAGGGGCCCCCAAAGGGACCCCCCCAAGGGGCTGAGTTGAAGAGGAAGCAGCAGCAGCAGCAGCAGCAGCAGCAGCAGCAGTAGCAGCAGCGGCTGCTGCTGCTGTAGACGCAGTGATGCGCCTGTGGAGGCTGCAGCAGCAGCTGCTGCAGCAGCAGCTGCTGCAGCAACAGCCAAAGCAGCAGCAGCCAAAGCAGCAGCAGCCAAAGCAGCAGCAGCCAAAGCAGCAGCAGCCGAAGCAGCAGCAGAAGCAGCATTGGGCACAGCAGCAGCAGCAAGTGCAGCAGCAGCAGCAGCAGCAGCAACCCACATCTAAGGGTTATCTCGTTGCTGTGAACTTAAACCCTAAACTCTAAAAGTAATTGTTTAATTGCGAGCAGGTTTTAAACCCTAATCCCTAAACCCTAAACCCTAAACCCTAAACCCTCGGTCCCCAGGCGAAGGCACTAGCTGACATGTACGAAGCAGTAAGAGGGCAAGTTTGTTCTTTTGAGATTTCAGGTTTTACGCTTTATGGTTCAGCGTTTAGGGTTTAGGGTTTAGGGTTTAGGGTTTAGGGTTTAGGGTTTAGGGTTTAGGGTTTGGGAGTGAGGGTTTGGGATTCAAGGGCTAGGGTCTGGACACTGTGGCCCCCAAGCATCCGGGCCATTCTTGTACTTGTAAACGCTAAGGTCAAATTCTAAACCCTAAACCCTAAACCCTAAACCCTAAACCCTCAATTCTAAACCCTAAACCCTAAGCATTCTAGCCACAAACGCTAAACGCTTGTTCCTGTTTGGGGCTGTCTCGCGAGGGCCTCTTCGGCAGCTGTTCCAAACCCTAAGCCCTAAACCCTAAACCCTAAACCCTAAACCCTAAACCCTAAATTTCAAGCTGTGAGCAAAGTATAGGAAGAAAACCCTCCACTGGCCTGCGTAGATGACCTCGGCGCCGTAGGCCCAAGCCCTAAACCCTAAACCCTAAACCCTAAACCCTAAACCCTAGACTTTGTGGGACCTGTGCTGCTTCAAGAAATAACTTTTGTTGTTTTCGTGCGCGCGAATTCACCAAACCCTAAACCCTAAACCCTAAACCCTAAACCCTCGTTTTTCCTTTTAGGGGACAGTCCTGTGTGGCCGGTTTTCTCCGCACTTTTCCTTTGAGGGTTTAGGGTTTAGGGTTTAGGGTTTAGCACTTGCGGCCATGGCCCATAGAAGCTAGGGCTCTCTGTGAGCCCTAGCGCAGCCCTCCGCAGCAGCAGCAGCAGCAGCAGCGGCAGCAGCAGCAGCAGCAGCGGCAGCAGCAGCAGCAGCAGCGGCAGCAGCAGCAGCAGCAGCAGCAACAATGGTCACGGGCAGTTTGTGGCACCAGGCGGGCCAGCATGGCTGGGCTGCGGACTCCAGGCGCCTCTACAGCAGCAGCAGCAGCAGCAGCAGCAGCAGCAGCAGCAAAGACAGCAGCAGCAGCAGCAGCAGATATGCAGCAAGGGGGGGCCTCATAGGGGCCCCCAAAAAGAGGGGAAGGGGCCGCAGGCGCCTCAGCAAAGTTGTGAGCCACAAACCCTAAACCCTAAACCCTAAACCCTAAACCCTGAGCAATCCAGAATGCAACAAACCCTAAACCCTGGCAGCCGCTGAGCTGTAGTAAACCCTAAACCCTAGGAAACCCCAGTAAACCCTAAACCCTAACAAAACCTAAACCCTCGCAGCTCGCAAACCCTCAACTCTCTACCAAGCCCTAAACCCTTGCGAAATATAAGCCAAATTAACTTTAAACCCTAAAAGCCGCTAAACCCTAACAAACCCTAAACCCTAACAAACCCTAAACCCTAACAAACCCTAAACCCTAACAAACCCTAAACCCTAGCTAGCCCAAACCCCAGCAGCCCTGGGACTCCCCTAGGCTCCTTGCCCACTAGAAGCAGCCGCCAGCTAGCCTGAGGACCCTGCTGCTGCTGCTGCTGCTGCTGCTGCTGCTGCTACTGCTGCTGCTGCTGCTGCTGCTGCAGGGCCGGGTGGTTGTTTGCGTGCTGATTTTGGTGCTGCTGGTTTGGGTGCTGCTGCTGTGGCGGTGGTTTGCTGCTGTCAAGCCAGCAGCAGACGAGCCGGAGCAGCAGCAGCTGCAGCAGCTGCAGCAGCTGCAGCAGCTGCAGCAGCTGCAGCAGCTGCAGCAGGAGGCCGTCGGCGCGGTTCCTGGAGAAGAGCTGCTGCAGCTGCAGCAGCAGCAGCAGCAGCAGCAAAGAAAGGCCCGCCGCGCAGATGACACTGCCCAGCAGCAGCAGCAGCAGCCGCTGCTGCACACAAGCTTTAGCTCCCCCGCAGTGCGCCCACAGCAGCCGCAGCAGCAGCAGCAGCAGCAGCAGCAGCAGCAGCAGCAGCAGCAGCAGCAGCAGCAACAGCAGCAGCAGCAGCAAACGTTGGCAGTGCGTCAGGGAGAGAGTCAAGTCAGGGTAGGCGGCAGTTGAGGGGGCCCCTCCTGACAGCGACAAGGGCCCATGGGGGCCCCCATGGGCCTTTGGGGCCCCCATGGGTCCTTGGGGGCCCCCAATGGGTCCTTGGGGGCCCCCATGGGCCTTTGGGGCCCCCATGGGTCCTTGGGGGCCCCCAAAGGCTTTTTGGGGCCCCCATGGGCCTTTAGGGGCCCCCATGGGTCCGTGGAGGCCCCCATGAGCCATTGGGGGCCCCCGTGGGCCTTTAGGGGCCCCCATGGGTCTTTGGGGCCCCTGTGGGCCTTTAGGGGCCCCCATGGACCTTTGGGGCCCCCATGGGTCTTTGGGGGGCCCCCATGGGCCTTTGGGGGCCCCATTGGGTCTTTAAGGGCCCCTTTCAGTGTCATGGGGCCCCCTGGAGTTCTCTGGGGGCCCCTCCGGCTTCTGGGGGCCCCCGCGGCCTTCTGGGGGCCCCCAAGACCTTCTTGGGGGCCCCCAAGACCTTCTTGGGAGCCCCCAAGAGCTTCCTGGGGGCCCCGAAAATCTTCTTGGGGGCCCCCAAGAGCTTCTTGGGGGCCCCCAAGACCTTCTTGGGGGCCCCCAAAGGCTTCTTGGGGGCCCCCAGATTGCTGTTGGTGCCCTTTGGGGCCCCTTAGCGTTTGGGGGGCTTTGGGGGCCCCCAGGGCCTCGCTGAGGGCCCCAGGGGCCAACTGCCAAACAAGGGTTTAGGGTTTAGGGTTTAGGGTTTAGGGTTTAGGCTTTAGGGTTTAGTCAAATAAATTCATTTACGCGCTTTGTAGCATACTAAGAGCCTGCAAACCCTAAATCCTAAACACTGGAGCCACCGTGGCTGCGCGCGGCTAAACCCTAAACCCTAAACCCTAAAAGAGTGCATCTCGGGAATGGCCGCACATGCTGAGTTTAGTCCCGCCTAAACCCTAAACCCTAAAAGAGCGCATCTCTGGGAGAGCCACAAATAGTGGAATCATTCCTTCCTAAACCCTAAACCCTAAACCCTCTAGGTGTCTTCTAGTAGTGTCTTTCTTAACTCGAGGGTTTGGAGAAATTGGATCTGAAAATATATTTTTATTGAAAGATTTTTCGAGGATTTTGCAAAAAGAAATTCAAGAAAAAGAATATATTTAAAAGAACATCCGGAAGTTGTTGAATTCAATTGCATAGCTGGGGTGTACAGACACCTCAGGCGACAGTGTTGACTGGTGGGTGCAAAAGGGAAAAGAAGAAAAAGAATTTAATTAAATTAAAAGTTTATTAAACTTTATTTACTTTTTATTTCTTCTTTTGCTTTTATTGGCGCATGCAAATTAGTGAAAGACCCCAGAGGAGGTGACCTGCTCATACACCTCAAACCCTAAACCCTAAACCCTAAACCCTAAAACCTGAAACCCTCCTTGACTCTCCGAGACTTCCTCCTAACAATTTTTAATCATTTCAGGTGATGAAATAGTCAAAAATAGAAGCTAAACCCTAAACCCTAAACCCTAAGCCGTTTAGTCTCTTCGCGGGTCACTCCATAAGCCCTGGGGCTGCAGCCCAAAAGCCTAAGCCTAAACCCTAAACCCTAAACCCTAAACCCTAGCCCCTTAACCCTGAACTTTAACCCCTTTAGACTCAATGCAAATTAGATGCTCCCTTTTTATTTCTTCTTCTGCTGGTCTTCTGGCTAGGCTCGCACGCGAAACCCTAAACCCTAAACCCTAAACCCTAAACCCTAGAGCAATGCTGACGAACTACAAATGGAGGGTTTTTCCAGACAGAGAAACCCTAGAGAAAAAGCGGCTTAGAGAAAGAAGAGAGAAATTCATCCGCGTGGAAACCATGCAACTAGCTACAGACACGGGTAAACCCTAAACCCTAAACCCTAAACCCTAAACCCTAAACCCTAAACCCTAAACCCTGAGCTCTAGACCGAATGCCATGTTTTCAAAGCGAAGCCCAAAAGCCCATAAAATCCCAATCCTAAGTCCTTACTTCTTCTCCCAAGCCCCTAAACCCTAAAATCCAAACCCTAAACCCTAAACCCTAAACCCTAAACCCTAAAACCCCTAAACCCTAAACCCTCTTACTTTTGCCCCTTCAGAGCCTTCAACGGCCCCCCAAACGCTGTGGGACAAAAGCCTCTCTGAGGAAGACAGACACAGGAGGCAGCAAGCCAACCAAATCTTCCAAGCTGCCCGCAGGCAAGCAGCAGCAGCAGCAGCAGCAGCAGCAGCAGCAGCAGCAGCAGCATCAGCAGCAGCAGCAGCAGCAGCAGTAGTAGCAGCAGTAGCTACAGACAGATCGATGACTCTGGATAGATAGCAGAGGGGAGATAGTGTCTAGCAAATGGCTAGCTAGCTGGCTAGCTAGTTATCTAGCTAGCTAGCTAGCTGGCTAGCTAGCTGTCGTCCCATTTGGCTAGCTGTAGCTTTTGTGGGGAGTCACAGCTGTGAGTTTGGATAACATGAGATGCACTTGTGGCAACAGAGGGTTTAGGGTTTAGGGTTTAGGGTTTAGGGTTTGGGTGCGAGTCTGGTGCAGCAAAAAGATGCTGGAGAGAGAGGAACAAATGCAGCAAAGAAGACAGATGGAGGAAACGGCGAGTTAACCCTAGCTAGCCAAATAGCTAGCTAGCTAGCTAGCTAGCTAGCCACTAGCTAGCTAGCTAGCTAGCTAGCCACGGCAAGCTGCAATAGCTCTCCCCCCAGCTGGGTAGATGGCTAGCCAGCAGTAGCAAGATAGCTAGCTAGCTAGCTAGCTAGCTAGCTAGCTATCTAGCTAGCTAGCTAATTAGCTACAGCCAGCCACAGCCAGATAGCCAGCTCGCCCCAGCTAGCCAAGATTAGCTAGCTAGCTAGCTGGCGAACTGCAGCTAGCCACAACTGGATAGACAGATAACTGCAGCTCGCCGTAACTGGCCAGCTAGCTAGCTGTAGCTAGCCATAACTAGCTAGCTAGCTAGCTAGCTAGCTAAACACGGCTGGCCCCAATTAACTGGCCTGCTAGCTAGCTAGCTAGCTAGCTAGCTAGCTAGTGTGCTGGCGCCCAGCTAGCCACACCTAGCCAGGTTCTAAGGTTGAGGGTTTAGGGTCTAGGGTTTAAGCATTAGGGTTTAGGGCATTTGTCTTCAGAAGGAGCAAAGAAGGATCGAAGCGCACAGGCAGCCGCCTCGCGGGTCCCGTAAACCCTAAACCCTAGGCCGTAAACCCTAAACCCTAGGCAGCAAACCCTAAACCCTAGGCAGCAAGCCCCAAACCCTAGGCAGCAGACCCTAACCCTAAACCCTAAACCCTAATTCGCCAGTACTGCAGCGAAAGCTGCGGCCAATGGACTTGAACTGCTCACTGTGCGAGGGCCCACTGCACTCCTTATAACAAATCCTAAACCCTAAACCCTAAACCCTAAACCCTAAACCCTAAACCCTTATGTTTCCTTCAGCTCTCCCTGGGACGTCATATCAGGTGCTGCTGTTGACTACGAGAGGGCAAGGCGAATAACGGAGACAGCCGAAAAAAAAGAGGTACCCAAACCCTAAACCCTAAACCCTAAACCCTAAACCCTAAACCCTAACCCTAAACCCTAGACCCTCACTGCTGAAGGGCTTATCTTTTGCTGCTTCAGCATATCCGGAGAAGCCGCTCTGCGTCTCGCCGTCGAAATTACGACATTGTCACAGGCAAACCCTAAACCCTAAACCCTAAACCCTAAACCCTAAACCCTAAACCCTAAACCCAAACCCTAAACCCTAAACCCTTGGCCCATTGGACGGGCTGGAGGTTTGTTGGTGTCTGCAGGGCAGCTGCGAAACCAGCAGGTATACTAGCCACCCCCCAGCAGCAACAGCAGCTGCTGCTGCTGCTCTTGCTGCTGCTGCTGCTGCTGCTGCTGCAGCCAGCAACACTGCGAGAAGCAGTGGCGCTGGGAACTACAATTTAAACCCTAAACCCTAAACCCTAGCCCTAAACCCTAGAACTCCGGTCTCACTATTTTCGCAGTGAGCCGTTTTCGAGGCATCTGCCTCTAGGCTGCCATTGCCCTTTACCCTGGGGTTTAGGGTTTAGGGTTTAGGGTTTAGGGTTTAGGGTTTACGGCGCAGAGCTGTTGCCAGCGGGGTCACAGCCTAAGACGTGCAGCAGTCGACAGCCGTTAGGGTTTAGGGTTTAGGGTTTAGGGTTTGTGGCACGAAACCACTTATAAATCAGGAGGGATTAGGGTTTAGGGTTTGGGGTTTAGGGTGTGAGAGGCAGGGAGGCGAACATGCACGAGGGTTTGGGGGTGAGCTTGCCCGCACTGGGCCAGTTAGCCCCAGGGTTTAGGGTTTAGGGTTTAGGGTTTAGGGTTTAGGGTTTGTGACGTAGAGCAGTCTATACCCTTTTGTCTTTTCCATTTCTTGGCAAAGAAGTTCAAAAGAAATCCAAACCGCCGGCTGCTGCCGCCGGCGAGCTGTCAGCAGCTCGCGCTGCACAGGCGCCTCCCTGTTGCAGCAGCAATTGCTGCTGCTGCTGCTGCTGCTGCTGCTGCTGCTGCTGCTGCTGCTGCTCTTGCTTCTGCTGCTGCTGTTGCTGCTGCTGCTGTTGCTGCTGCTGCTGCTGCTGCTGGAACTGCTCTGTAGAGGCAACGGCGTGGCCCCCTGTTTGGCAGCAGCAATGGAGTCAAGGCACTCTTCACGCTGCTGCTGCTGTGGTTGCTGCTGGCCGGTGTTGCTGCTGCTGCTGCTGCTGCTGCAGCAGCAGCAGAAGCAGCAGCAGCTGTTTGCCCTGTACTCCCGAGCAGCAAACACAAGTGCGTAGTGGTTGGGGCCGTGGTATATTAGGCAGCTGCCGGGGGCCCCCAAAACCCTAACTACCATCTCCCACATTTCATCTGCTGCTGCTGCTGCTGCTGCTGCTGCTGCTGCTGCTGCTGCTGCTGCTGCTGCTGGGCCTAGTGGGGCGGGCACATCTGCTAGAGCTGGTGCTGGCGGTTCCGGCGCTGCAGCTGCTGTTGTAAGTTCTGCTGCTGCTGCTCCTCTTGATGTTGCTGCTGCTGCTGCTGCTGCTTCTGCCTCTGCTGCTGCAGCAGTGCTGCTGCTGTCTGCTGCTGCTCTTGCATCTGCTGACGTTGTAACAGAGCTGCTGCTGCTCGCTGCTGCTCCTGTGTCTGCTGCTGCTGCTGTACAGTCTCCCAGTGTTGGGTTTGCTGCTGCTGCTTGTGCTTCTGCTTCTGCCGTTGGTTGTGCTGCTGCTGCTGATGGTTCTGTGGCTGCTGCTGCTGCTGCTGCTGTACTTGCTGCTGCTCCTTCCGCCGTTATTGCTGCTGCTTGTGCTGCTGCTGCACCACTTGCCACAGCTTGCTCTTCTGCTGCTGCTGGACTCTTTGCTGCTACGGCAGCAGCAGCAGCAGCAGCAGCAGCAGCAGCAGCAGCGTTACCTTTGTAAAGACACTTGAAGGGAGATGAAGGAGGCCCCCAGAAAACATACCCCACCTCCAGCGGCAGCAGATCCGCAGCGCTGCTGTTGCTGCTGCTGCTGCTGCTGCTGCAGCTGCTACTGCCGCCGTCATTGTTGTTGCTGCTGCTGCTGCTGCAGCTGCTGCTGCATATGCTACCACCTTCCGTGCCGTTGTTAATTCTGCACTGACCAGTGTTGCTGTCGCTGCTGCTGCTGCTGCTGTGGCTGCTGCTGCTGCTGCTGCTGCTGCTGCTGCTGACAGCGCCCCAAGAACTGTTGGGGCCAAATGAGCTGCAGCTGCTCACTAGCGGCGGCAGGAGCAGCCGCTGCTGCTGCAGCAGCTGTTGTTGCTGCTGCAGTTTCAGCTGCTGCTGCAGCTCATCTTGTTGCTCTTGCTGCTGCTGCTGCTGCTGCTGCAGCTCTTCCTGTTGCCGTCGCGTTTGCTCTTGCCGCTGTTGCTGCTGTTGCTCTCGCTGTTGCTGTTGCTGCTGCTCTTGCTGCTGCTGCTGCTGCCGCTCGTGCTGCTGCTGCCGCTCCTCTGGCTGCTCTTGCAACAGCTGCTGCTGCCGCTGCTGCTGCTGCCGTTGCTGCTGCTGCTGCTGCCGCTGCTGCTGCTGCAGCCAACGCATGTCCAGCTGCTTGATGGCCCTAAGAACAGCAGCATTGCCTTGTGCTGCTGTTGAAGGTCTTTGCTGCGTGCAGTCCGCGGCAGCAGCAAACTGCATGCAGCCATTCTGCTGCAGCAGTCTCGACAGCAGAAGAGAAAAACAGACGTGGCTGCTGCTGCTGCTGCTGCCTCCCCTGCTGCCTCTGCTGCTGCTGCTGCTGCTCTTCCTGCTGCTGCTGCTCTTCCTGCTGCTGCTGCTCTTCCTGCATCTGCTGCTCCTGCTGTTGCTCTTGCTGTTGGGGCGACAACGGTGGCTCTTGCTGCACCTGTTGCTGCAGCTGCTGCTCTTCCTGCTGCTGCTCCTGCTGCTGCTTCTGCTGCGGCATCTGACCCTGCTGCTCTTGCTGCTGCTGAAGTTTACATAGTTGCTGTTCTTCCTCCTGCAGCGCTTGCTGCTGCAGACATACTCGCTGGTTGTGCTGCTGCTGCTGCTGCTGCTTCTGCTGCTGCTGCTGCTGCTGCACTGTGGGTGGAGGGCTCGTGCTGCCCGTTTTTGCTGCACTTCGCTGCGCCTTTGCTGTCTCCTCGCCATTGGCCTCCTCGTCCGCCCAACAGTTCAGCTGCTGCTGCTGCTGCTGCAGCTGCTGCTGCTGCTGCTGCTGCTGCTGCTGCAGCTGCTGCTGCTGCAGCTGTGTTGGGGTGAGCAGCAGCAGAAATTCGGGAGTGGGTCTAGCTGCAGCAGCAGGCCTGCAGCTAGAGCGGCCTCTTCTTTTGCTGCTGCTCTTGGCAGGGTTTGCTGCTGCTGCTGCAGAAGTAACCCAAGCAGCCAAAGGGGCCATCGGCAGCAGTTGCTGCAGCAGCAGCTGCTGCAGCAGCAGCTGCTGCTGCTGCTGCTGCTGCTGCTGCACTCCTGTTTCGCTTTTCTCTAAGGAACCATCCAGCAGCAAAAGGGTCTCCCCATCTGGGCCCCTCCCCCTATCTGGGGGCCCCCCGCAATTTGGGGGCCCCTCCCCACTTGGGGGCCCCCCGCCATTTGGGGGGCCCCCACCATTGGGGGGCCCCCCCTCCAGTACCCTAAGGCCCTCGCCCCCTAGGGGGCCCTCACTACCGCCTGCAGGACCCTCTTGGGGGCCCCCTGCTGTGGGGCCCCCAGCTGTGGGGCCCCCAGCTGTGGGGCCCCCAGATGTGGGGCCCCCAGATGTGGGGCCCCCAGATGTGGGGCCCCCAGCTGTGGGGCCCCCAGCTATGGGGGGGCCCCCGGCTGTGGGGCCCTCAAGAGGGGCTTCTGAAATGTCAGTTGGGCATTCTTTTTGGCTGTCCATTAGGGATTGGGGGGCCCCTACGGGGGCCCCTTGGGGGGCCCCTAGGGGGGCCCCTTGGGGGGCCCCTTGGGGGACTTCTTGGGGGGCCCCTCGGGGGGCCCCTTGGGGGGCCCCTTGGGGGGCCCCTTGGGGGGCCCCTCGTGCTGCGTGAAGTACCCTGTAAAGGGCTTCTCGAGCCAGTAGGGCCTCCAGCCTTCTCCTGCGCGATCTCTTTGCTGCTGCTGTTGCAGCAGCAGCAACATATCCAGCCAGAGAAACCTTTTCCTCTGCTGCGCCCCCAGCAGCAGCAGCAGCAGCAGCAGACGAGCCGCCTCTCGAAAATAGTCCTTGGGGAACTTCATTTGGGGATCTTTCCAGTACTAAACTCTCCTGTGGGGCCCCCTGTGGGGCCCCCTGCGGGGCCCCTTGGGGGGCCCCTTGGGGGGCCCCCAGGGGGGCCCCTGGGGGGCCCCCGGGGGGGGCCCCTTGGGGGCCCCCAGGGATTTCCTTCGAGGGGTTCGTTTGCTGCAGCTCATCTGGGGGCCCCTCTGAAGGGTCCTCAAAGTCTGCTTCCTGCTGCTGTTCCTCTTGAGGCTGCTGCTGCTGCTGCAGTGGAGGCTGCTGCTGCTGCTGCTGCTGCTGCTGCTGCTGTTGGCGCTGTTGCTGCTGTTTGCGCTGCTGCTGCTGAGCTTGTGCCAGGCCGTGCTGCAGCAGCAGCTGGTCTAGCTGCTGCTGCAGCAGCAGCAGCAGCGTGTTGAGCTGCTGCCGCGTTGCTGCAGCAGGCCTCAGCCCCACCGCCTGCAGCAGGCGGTCTGCTGCTAGGTCTCTCTGCTGCTGCTGCTGCTGCAGCAGCAGCAGCAGCACGTCAGCAGCAGTAGCTGCACCAGGGGCCCCCCGCCTGAAGCCTCTGCATGCATTCCAAGCTCCTGCTGCTGCTGCTGCAGCGCAGCAGGGGCCCCCCTGAGGGACCCACCCCTCAAGGGCCCCCCAGCAAACGGAGACAGAGCAGCAGCAGCAGCAGCAGCAGCAGCAAGGCAGCAGCTGAGCTATGCTGGTCATGCCACACTGCTGCTGCTGCTGCTGCTGCTGCTGCAGAAGGTGTTCCCGCTTTTCCAGCAGCTGCCCCCGCTGCCTCTGCTGCTGCAGCTGTTGCTGCAGCTGCTGCAGCGGCTGCTGCTGTTGCTGCTGCAGCTCTTGGCGCGCAAGCATTACTTCATTTTGCTGCTGCTGCTGCAGTCTTTGCTGTTGCTTCTCTCCGGAGTCTCGACTTTGCTGCTCCTCTTGCTGCTGCTGCTGCTGCTGCTGCTGCTGCTGCTTCATCGGGAGCTTTCTGGTCGTTACCTGCTACGCGCAACTATGCCGAAGGGCATGTGGTGCAAACCCTAAACCCTAAACCCTAAACCCTAAACCCTAAACCCTAAACCCTGAACTCCAGACTCCAAATCTTGGAACCGAGACCATAGGCAGTATATTCTACGATTCGTTGGATCAACAACACAATCTGCTGCTGCTGCTGCTGCTGCTGCTGCTGCTGCTGCTGCTAGCACGGATGCACAGACAGCAAGAAGCGGACCCCCGGCCCTAAACTCTGGCCGTGAGGCTGTAAACCCTAAACCCTCGCAGTTAACCCTAAACCCTAATTATAAATAATAAAATAAAGTTTTAAAAATTGAAAATAAAAGACGAAGAAAAGAAGATATAAATAAATTTCGAGCCCTCCAGGCGCCCCAGCACTCGAGACACGGCGAGGGTTCGCGGTTTAGGGTTTAGGGTTTAGGGTTTAGGGTTTGGGGGCCAGTTTTTCTTTATTAATAACTATAATAAACCAAATTTACTCCATTTTATATATTTATCTGCTCGATTACTGCATCTGGGGGCCCCCAGGGGCCCCCCGGAGTGAACTGTGGGTCTCGGGGCCCGCAGCAGCAGCAGCAGCAGCAGCAGCAGCAGCAACTGCGTGTCTCTGTTTCCTCTTTGACCAGCATTTGTTTTCTTTGTTAAAAAACCCTCGTTTTAATTTGGGGGCCCCCGTCTCTCCTTGCCAACAAGGGGCCCCCAGGGCCCCCTAGCAGCAGCAGCAGCAGCAGCAGCACGAGTACCGCAGCAGCAGCAGCAGCGCAGGCCCCTCCCCCCGCAGCAGCAGCAGCAGCAGCAGCAGCAGATGTGTCTGCCCCTTTCCAGGGGCCCCCGTCTCTCATCTCCCTGAGTCCGAATGTCCCAAGCAGCACAGGGGCCCCTGGGGGCCCCCCGTGGCGGATCTATGGAGGGGGCCCCCCTTGGGGCCCCTCGGGGCCCCGCGCTGCGGGGGGCCCCCCGGGGGGCCCCCCACGGCGGGGGGCCCCCCGGGGGGCCCC